TTCCCCCCCCCCCCCCCCCCAGTTAAAAGTTTTCTCACAGAGCCATCTTTAAGAAACAGTTATGATTTCCAGTTTTGATTGATGAAATAATGTGTGTTTAATACAAAGAATTGGCTGGAAAAAAAAGAGAAGAAACTCCAGGCCATTGAATGTTCATCAAAACCTTAAAGTAAACCAGTCTTCTTGAATAACTCATGGTGATTTTACAAAACGAAAATTAATAAATGATATCAACCAGTGGTTGCTTTATTTTAGTGATCTTCAGCACTTTATCCTGAACTCAAAAAGACTAGCAGACTTTCCTCAATTTAAGTTTTAAAAAATTAAATTAAGATATTTTTTTCATTCTTTATTGTATAAAGGATGAGATAAAATAAGATGATAATGCAGATCTTAAGCACCATGATAGAGAGTATGATAATGACCCAATCTTTTCAAGGGGGGAAAATTGTGAATTTTATAGATACTGTATTTTTAGGTCTTAATTTTTTAAAAACAAAGCAATCCTATTGAGTGGTGGCAACAAAATTGAAAAGCAGAATACTTTATAGTTCTATTCTGTGCATTTAAAGCACCACAAATGCTACACAAAATAGAATTTTCATGGTTTTAAAATGAGGTATCTGCAAGTCTGATAATTTTTGCCCATGGAAAAGATGGGAGTCATTAGCGTAATGTGTGCTTCAGGAAATGGGTGGCTGGCTGATCCAGGTTAGATCCTTCTAGAAGTGTGAAGTGTGAATGGCACAAAAGAACTCCCACCTAGCGAGCTGTCTGAAGAAGAGCTACAGCCTGCAGCCTGCCTCCTCGTGAACTACGTATATCTCTCGTGCCTGGTGGTCCATAATAGATTTTTACAAGCTTTTGTTAGATCGCCGTGGCAGAAATAGAAAACAAGATGTAAACACTTGAAATTCTCAAGTGAAGAAGCACCTCTTGTTCAGGTCAAAGAACTTGGAGCACCTACTTCTTGAGGTGTCGTCGTCTGATATCATGTGTGATACTGATAACTTCCTTCGTATTTGGTGTTTGCTATTTATATTACCTACATATTTAGAGTTTCAAAGCAGTAAAAGAAGATAATTTTCACTTACAGTTTCTGTTGTGAATGGATGGAGTCCCTTCACTGACAAATCTTTGTGTGTAGATTTGAAAAGGATGCTTCTTTTTT